TATATATATATATATATATATATTTGTATCTAACCAGAAAGCCGTTCATATTCCCTTTAAAATATCCGAAGACATGGAGAGTGAGAGGGACGGGTCTGTAGCTGCTGCTGAACTGTCTGCTGCTGCCCCCCAACCAGAGAGCAAGTTGTTTTATATTTGTTATTGTTGCAGACACAGCAACAAAACGAAGACGCATGCATACACTGCATGCATGCAGCTTCAGGCGAGCCACTATCGCCTCCTAAAGTTGAAATATTATAAACACCCTTTTGCTGCTTTTTTTATATTTTTTTTTTGTTTATATTTACTTATATATTTGTGTTTATTGCTTAGATATTATTTTTATTTTGTATATTATATATGATATATGCCATGCATATATATATATATATATATATATATATATATATATATATATATATATATATAACATATACACCACATATACTATATACAACATATACAATACATACATAACATATACAATATCTACAACATCCGTATACACTGTATACACTGCATAAAACCGTAGAAATTCAGATGTTATATGAATGTAAAATATTATATAAAGTGGAGACATACCAAGACAGGGCCTCTGTGTTTTATGTTGAGAAGATGAACTTCATCGATGCATACGAGAGCAACACAAGAGGCGAGGGGGTTGTTGTTATAGCTCGTCATTCTCATCACCGTATCGAGTTTCTCTGCATATATATATATATATATATATATATATATATATATATATATATATATATATATATATATATATATGAATTCTTCTCAGGCCCGCAATGTTTTGTAATTGTTTATGTTTTCATATTTGTGTAGTGTTTATGTTTCTTATTTGCATTCATTTTTATTTTTGTATTTTTCTGTGTTTAGTGTTAATGTTTCTTATTTCCATTCACTTTTATTTTTGTATTTTTTTGTGTTGCTGCAGCTGAGGTGTGAACTAAACTTTATCAGTTGAGCTAGCACTGCATGCACGAGAAAACAACAAACTGCCGCTGCAGCTGCTGCAGCTGCTACTTTTTTTCTTCTTTTTTGCTGCTGGCGGTCCCCGCGGGTGAATATAATAAGGAAAAATGGTTGAGTGCAGAGTGTACACACGTCTTCAATT